GAACTACTCATCCGCCCTTCTTCTCCTGAAATCCAGTAGATGTTTGAACAGTTTTGGCCTCTGCAAACTATCTCTCGTCACACTCCACCAAATGCTCGTTCACCTTCCAGAACTGGATCCTCCAGCCACCTCCTGAACCTGGAAAAGAGGACAGAAAAAGTAAGAGCCATTCCCTCTGTCCAACCCAGAGACGGTGTCTGACATGGGTGATATGCAGCTGCCCAGGGTGGCAGCTCGTAAAGGGCAGCACAAGCACCCTCCCCCTAATTTTTTTATTTTTTTATGCATTATTTCATAAACTGTAGTCTTTCTATCCTACATGTGGGTTTCCTACTTGTGCCTACTTGTGCCCACTTGTGGGGAGTGTGCGCCCTCTGCCAGGTCCAGGGCGTGGAGCTTCTGCTCACACAGGTTGTGAGAGAAGGAGAGGGGGCGGGGGATTCTCTTGTCTCCTTTGCTGGGACAGGGATGCATCTAATCGCTGAGCAAATCACAGCATTGATTGCTCCTAAACAAAGCTACTTTCATTCATAACATTGTGAATTTAGCCAATAGTTCAGTTTACTTGTGTGAAATCACTAAAAAAAATTAATACAAAAACAAATCTGCACAGGTGAATTAGTGTAAACTGTTTTGACTAATGTTGGGGGGAGTGTCAATTACACACATGGAAGATGGACAAGAACAGATCAAAGTCATCAGGTGTCCAGTTTAGGGAAAAGAGAAACCAAGAAGAAGAGAAATTAGCAAAAGATAAAGATATGCAGCTGTGTCATCACTTGGAGCCTGAACGCTGTTCTGTTATGTAGCTATAGCCTGTTGCAAAATAGCCTTATTATCATTTAATATCATAAGACACCAACTGTTGTTTATGTTTAGCTGCTTAGGGTGACACATTTGGTTTTCAGCAGAAAATATTACCATTATGAAGACTGAAATTCTTTTAAAACTAAACTGCTACATGGGAAAGTAAGGCTACAATAATTATTAAAGGCGATGATCTTGTGATGCAGCTTGCACCGTGTTAAAAAGCCATTAACTGGAAGAAGTGTTGATTTGTCTCCTATTCTGGATACTTAAAGTATGTATGTATGTGTGTATGTGACACAGCTAAGACAAAAACTAGCATGCATGTATGCATGCTAGTTTTTGTCTTAGCTGCTTGCTGTGTCAGTATCAACCACACAGCTGCTGAGCAGATTTCATACGATGACATTATTGATGAGTTTGCATCAAGGAAGGCAAGAAGAGTCGATATTTATGTGGCAGTTGTTCAGTTTAATCTGTATTTCTCGTTTGAACAGTAAAAGTGTTGATTCACTTATTGAAAGAAGGGTAAGACTTTATATAACAGCTGTGCAACTTAACTTGTGTTTCTTGAAGTGCATTAATTGTCTTGTTCAGAAAAGGTTCAGACCTTCCTTGACGGTTGTACAGAGAAACTGGTGTCGATCAAAGTGCAGTTGTACACAGATTAAGTGTTCCTCTTTTGGTGCAATTTTGAAACGCCTCATTTTAATTGAATTATATTTTCTACGGTATTTATTTGTATTGTATACTTTTAAATTCATGGTATGCAGTAATTGTGTGTTTTACTCAGTGTGTTTATAGTAGCACCGGTAGTTTACTTTCTTCAATTTCAAGTTTTTGAATAATATATTCAAAGAAAGTTTGGGGGATTGTGATGGTACATGGTAGTCTAAATAATATGGCAAAGTGCACCCAGGGGTGGGGTGGAGTTGGATGGTGTGGGGGTGGGGGGACTGGTTGTTCATCTAGGACAGCAAACAGGCTAGGACCGCCCCTGGAAACTGTGATAAACAGACACTGCATGCAGCTCTTGTTTTTCATGTTAACCTGTACTTTTTAGTTTATTCATCCCAATAAACACAGAAAAAACCCAACAATGTTTCCTGTGGCCTGTGTTTTGTTTTCACTGAGTGTAAACACACTTTTAAATGAGAACTGGAATCAGAAACTTTATTGTCATTGTTAGGATAACCACAAAGACAACGAGCAACCCCCCCAAAAAACTTCAAAGAAGTGCAGAGGTGGTCCTAAGATTGTCTATAGTTTATGCATTTGACAAATGTTTTACATTTACAGACAAAGAGTTGACACAGAATGTTGGCCTGTCAACTTCAACATCTAAGATGTAAAGGTGGTGGTTGGTGTTTGTTCAGCAGTCACAGCTAGGGAACAGTGGCTGTGGGCAGGCCTGGTGGTTCGGAGGTGTAGCCATCTGATTCTCCTTCTGTTTTGTGGAAGCTGCTGGAAGAGAGAGGGTCTGCTGAATGTTCAGGGAGGGTCTTGCAGGATGTTGAACACCTTACTCAAGCAGCAGCTGGTGTAAATTGTGTTTATCTGCGGAAGGTTGGTCCCTATGATCTTGCTTGCTGCCTTCACCGCTCTCTGGAGTGCCTGCTGCTCAGCCGTGGTGAAGCACTTTACTGATGGCACACTTGTGAAAGCTCACCAGAAGCTGTTAGGGAACTGTGCACTCCTTTAGTTTCCTCAGGTAGCAATGGGGAGTGGTGGTGCAGAGGTTAGCGAAGGTGAGCCTGTGATCAGAAGGTCGCTGGTTCGTTCTCCTGGACCGACAACATCAAAATGTGGGTGAAAAGGTAAAGCACCCACAACTGCCTCCACCCTTATCTTTGCCCCACTCTGAGCCCTTGAGCAAGGCCCTTAACCCCCACCATCTGCTCCCCTGGGGGCCCTAGATGGCAGCTCTCTGCTCCACACAGAGGGCTGTGGTATAGCTCGGTGGTCTGTGGTTGTGTCAGGAAGTGCATCCGGCATAAAAACAATTGTCAAGTCTTTGTGAGAGTTCACTGTGACGACCCCTGAGGAAGGGAGCAGCTGAAAGAAGAAGAAATATGTTTCCTCAGGTAGCAGAGGAGATGCTGAGCTTTTCCTGTGACAGTGGTGGTGTTGGCATCGCAGGATCCTCAGTCACAGTGAGATCCAGACACTTGATGCTCTTAACCCTTCCCACCACCTCATCACTAATGTACAAAAAGTTGGGACACTAAACAAATTGTGAATAAAAACTGAATGCAATGATGTGGAGGTGGCAACTTCTAATATTTTATTCAGAATAGAACACAAATCACAGATCAAAAGTTTAAACTGAGAGAATGTATCATTTTAAGGGACAAATCTGTTGTTTCCAAATTTCATGGCGTCAACAAATCCCCAAAAAGTTGGGACAAGTCCATTTTTCCCACTGTGTGGCATCCCCCCTTCTTCTTCCAACACTCAACAGACGTCTGGGGACAGAGGAGACCAGTTTCTCCAGTTTAGAAATAGGAATGCTCTCCCATTCACGTCTAATACAGGCCTCTAACTGTTCAATCGTCTTGGGCCTTCTTTGTCGCACCTTCCTCTTTATGATGCGCCAAATGTTCTCTATAGGTGAAAGATCTGGACTGCAGGCTGGCCATTTCAGTACCCGGATCCTTCTCCTACGTAGCCATGATGTTGTGATTGCTGCAGAATGTGGTCTGGCATTATCATGTTGAAAAATGCAGGGTCTTCCCTGAAAGAGATGGCGTCTAGATGGGAGCATATGTTGTTCTAGAACCTGAACATAGTTCTCTGCATTAATGGTGCCTTTCCAGACATGCAAGCTGCCCATGCCGCAAGCGCTCATGCAACCCCATACCATCAGTGATGCAGGCTTCTGAACGGAGCATTGATAACAGTAACTGTTATCAAAGTGCTTACCAAAAAAGATCACAGCATCAAATATTAATAACAACATGTTACAGCAACATGAATAAAAGCATAAAAACATTAAATATAACGAGAAACAATGAAATACTAAATCAAATCACCCTGCGTTAAATGTCAGGGAGTAAAAGCAAAATGGATGAACACAATCATCAACAACGAAATACCAAATGAGATCACACTGTGTTAAATGCCAATGAGTACAGGTGTGTTTTGAGGAGAGATTTAAAAATAGAGACTGAGGTGGCCTGTCGAATGTTGATGGGCAGATTGTTCCAGAGTTTAGGGCCCATGACTGAAAACGCCCGATCTCCTCTGAGCTTCAGCCTGGATTTTGGTACGGCCAAAAGCAGCTGGTTTGATGATCTCAAAGGTAGAAAGAGAGTCGGTATTGCGGATGTCTTAAGGAAGAGGGTTCCAGATTTACTGAGCAGAGTGGGGAAAAGCTCTGTTTCACTTGGTGCCGAGGTGGACAGAAGGAACGGTGAGGGGGCGGCAGGGAAGAACGAAGAGAGCGGGAAGTGGGGTGATGTGCAGGAGATTAGATGGATAAGGAGGGCCAAAGTTGTGGATGGCCTTGAATGTGTACAACAGGATTTTAAATTGAGTTCTGAATATGACAGGAAACCAGTGGAGTTATAGGACTGGGGTGAAATGAGGAGGTTTGGGTAATTATACAGCTAAACCAGCCTCTAGGGAGCACAATCCAGTGTATCTCTTGTGCCCATCCCTCGGATGAGAGGCGAAACGTTTCCACATTTTTTTGTTGTTTTGGTTTTTTTTTTTAATGTCCAGAGGACCAGATTTAACTTTTTTAGATAATGGATAGATGGTTTTAGTAGCAATGAGTAGAAACTCAGTTTAATCTGTTTGACGTGAACCAGAATTGAATTTCAGATAAACAGGAAGTGAAAGAGTAAGGTAGAAGTGAAGAATTTGGTGAGGTGGATAAGAAGAGCTGGGTGTCAAAGGTCACAATAATGTTTCATTTTGAACTAGCAGTTAGCGTATTGGTCCTGCTGCTTAATATACTCTGTTTCTCTAAATCGAGTCTGTTCAAAAGGCTACCTACAGCAGGCAAAATACTTTTAATAACATTTCCACTTCACAATCGTCCAAATGTTCTTTTAATATGAAAACATCTACGTTTTGGTAGCGGTCTCAGGCCCAGCCAGGCCTGGACCGTCACTTCTGGCTGCCTGGCTCGTTACATCATCCCGGAAAAGACCCGCCTTTTTGGGTGACGTCACGAGCAGGGAGAGAGCTCGTGGAGGGGGAGGGGCGTCCGGTCGACAGGCAGACAGACAGCAGGCAGCAGCTGCGGCGACAGCACCCGGCACCGTCAACTCTGCATTAAAACATTCACAGCGTTTCAGCTTTCAGCCCCGAACTCAGCGCAGACAGCGACACACACACGGCCCAGAAAACAGAAAATGGTAGACCGCGAGCAACTGGTGCAGAAAGCCCGGCTGGCTGAGCAGGCGGAGCGGTATGACGATATGGCCGCTGCCATGAAATCGGTAAGTAGCTCTCCGTCTCCCCATCCTTCTCAAATGACCTTTCTCCGTTTCTTTCTCATTTTCTGCCATAAACGGCGTCCTCGGTTATTTGAAACGTGTATAAAAAAAACCGGTAAATTAAAGTTAACCGGGGCTTCTTTGGAGAAGCAGAAGAGCGGCGGCTGCGTTTGGGCACATTTTGACGTCAGCGAATAATCCACATGAAAGTGGTGTATGAAAGTCGGGATTAATTGATGAGAAAGACCTGACGTGGAGACCGGCGAGGGTCTTAGGTGGAGTAAATCCACCTGGACTGGTCTGAAAGGCCTGCCACAGTCCAGCCCCGTGTCTTTTTGCATGAGGGGGATCCGCAGTCTGAGACAGAGGTTCGGTTTAAGCTCGGATTTATATAAAAGTGTATTTTTAATGGCGGTGATCTGCGGCCACTGTCTGATGCGGTCTGTTTGATCTTGGGGCGGTGCCTTTCAGGCTCCTTCACGCGCTCAGGCTGCCAGGGTTTAACCCACCTCAAATGAAGGGAATGAACGCGCACTATATCAGCTGTGTGTCTGCGTGGATCAGTTTTTAAAATGATCTCCCAACAGGTCAGGAGAATCTTAAAAAAGATCAGGTTCAAAGATGCGCAAAGCGCCTGGGCAGCTGATGCTCGCGCTCCGGTCTTTTTGACGCCACAACGAGCATCCATTTAGTGATGGATGCAATTTTTCTCTTTGCTGGGATGCTGGGGTGGAGGAGGAGGAGGGGGAGGCTGCTGCTGCACATTTGGCGCATAGAGAGGCAGGCCAATGTTGGCTGAAGGTTGATCGGGATCGATTTTTGCGCAGCATAAGGAAGCGCACTTCAGAACGTGCAAAGCTGCGTGGGTGTCGTTTGGCTGTTTTATTTATTTATTTTTCTGATTGTTTAAGAAAAAAAAAAAAAAAAATCCAAATGCGGCAGTTCTGTCTGTTCCCGGAGCCTGGGTCGGTGCTGTGCGCCAGCCGCATCCCTGCGTCCTCCACCTCTTCCTCCAGCAGGTTCCCACACACACAGAGGCGTGCCGCAGCAGCTGCCAGGATGCAGCACGGGCCCGCCCGTAGTGCACCATTTCACATGCAGCGTTTCATCACAGAGGCTGCTTCTCCTCCTCTGCTGACTGTGGACAGTACATTCTTACAGTAAGGGACTGACTCTGTGCAACATGGCCATGGTGGACTCTTGCAGGCTTCTGTATTCTCACTATTCATGACTTCCAAGGATGTTTTAAGCACATTTAGCAGATGGTGACGGTCTCTTTTAGGAAAACATTCAAATGACGTAGTGCTGTTTCTCTGTGTTTGTATTTATGCTCCTCATTATTTAGACATACATCTGGCATTCTGGTGTAGCCAACAGAGAACTGTTGGTGGGCTTTAGGTCCATGCTGCTCTCCAGGACGGGCCTGTAGTGGTGCTGCCGGTGAGTCTCAGCTCCACCCCTCCCCAGTTGTGCCGAGTCAGTGAGACCGAGCTGCCCCAACACGCATCCAGTGTTTCTGCAGCGTAAGGGCAGTAGGGGTGTGTCCGCTGCCTCGCCCATCATTCCAGGGGAATCCCTCGCCACTGCAGACATGGAAATGGCCCTGTTGGCAACAGAACCGAATAACCAGGTTGGCAGCAGGCGTCGCTACACCCTACCTCAGGAGAACTGCATGACTCAAAGGAACACGGCCAAAACGAGCCTCGGTAGAAGGCACTCGGCACTGTTTTCATCAATGCACAAATCAAATTTAAGCACCGAAGTCTATATAGCAGTTTTTAAATTTTTTTTAAGAAAAGAATAGTTGGAACCTGTTTAGTCAACTCGAACTGTTACACGGTTTTCATTAGCTGGGAGTGCAGCTACAGATCAAAAAGTAGGTCCATCAATACAGCTGGCGCGGGGGCCCTTACATCCAGACAGTCGTCATCAGGTCTGTCCTGCATGTCCAAGTACAGTTTATCGAGCTTACAGATGTAACGCAGATCAGGAACCAGCCGTAAAAGTACAAACCGCTTGAAGTGATGTTCTGTGAAAGTTTTATAAATTAGTTTTAATTTCCCTCTGGGATTAATAAAGTTTTTTTTATTTTTTTTTTAATTGAATTGAATTGAGTTTTCTAATTGTTGTGTACACAACATGAATTTGTGCAGGACTGATGAGCTAACAGCAAAGACCAAAGTGGATGGATGCCATCTTAAAACGACCAAGCCACAGTTTTCTAGTGTTCACGTGAAAGCTCTTTGATAAACCTTTACAGAGATTTGTTTTGCTCTATGTGGGATTTCACATAAAATTCTGTGTTTTATTTGCAAAAGGTTTTAATTATATATTTTAAATGATCCAATATCAGATTTAAATTGCCGTTGTCGTTTTTGGATGGATAAAGTTGCTTTGAAAGTATCAACTCCATTGACAAGGTACTCATGATCTGTGCAACAGAACCCTCTTCCGAAGCAAATTTAGCTGTTTTAAAGTAACCACTAACCAATGTTTAAAATGTTATAATGGTACAATGTTATTGTGGTTCAAGTTTTAGCTCGTCAGTCCTGTCTACTGGTTTAAAGCAGTGGTTCCCAACCGTGGTCCTTGAGGAACACCATCCTGCATGTTTTACTTGTTTCCCTGCTTTGACGCACCTCATTTGAATGAATGGGCGATTAACCGGCTTCTGCAGAATTTAAGGAAGTAATTAAATAACTGGATCAAGTGTTTTGGAGCAGGAACCAACTGAAACATTCAAGATGGTGTTCCTCAGGGACTAGCGTTGGGAACCACTGGTTTAAAGTACTGGTACTTTCAACAACAGGTGAGATAATTGTTATAACTTTTTGCACATTGTCCAAAATTTCCCTTTGAGAAAATATTTGTGCGATCAAGTTGTAACCCGTAGTATCATAACACATCAGTTGCAGTATATCAAAATTATGCCACAGCGTTTGTCCAAATACAGCAGTGACATTTTAACTCCTGTATAAGGTATACAGTCAGTGCTGACAGTCACACACCCTCAGTCAAAGTAAGAGACATGGGCTCTGATGGGTCTAGGTTCATGTGACAGGACAAACTGAAAATATAAACTCAAAACTCTCAGTAGTACTCTGCAGGTATTTTATCATCATGTCCACACAGGGACAGAACAGCAGCCCTTTGATGGAGTAATAACTGGTTATTGTAAGACTTGTCAGACCAGGGTATGTCAAAATGTTATTATTAGTTACAGAGGATTGTTTTCCTTAAGGTTTCGAGAAGAACTTGTTGGTTGATACTTTGTTACATCAGCACTATTTTACTCTGGATGAAAGCCCTGCTACACGCTACACAACCGTTTTGAACATGGCTGCATGGTGGCAAATTTACACAAAGCTTGAGTGTGAAGGCGACATGATGCTTAGTGCTTGTCCTGGCACAACTGTTGGGCTGCATCAGGATGCAGCTATGTGCTGAAAGATTATACTGTGTTAGCACAATGCTGATGACGTAATGAGGTGGTGAAACAGCTGTATGGCATGTCCTGCTTCTGATTCTCTACTGCTGAGTGACGGTAATGTGTGCAGGCCCCATGGGTGCTAGGGATGAGAATCTTTTGGAACCGAGTGATTCAATTCGATTAAAATTTGTTTGCTTATATTCTTTTAAGCATCAGCAAAGAAAAGCTAAAAACGAATTGTGCTCCACTGCAACGTATTTCAACTGAAGCAGCAACAGCAACTCCACTAGGACAAAAAGCAACACGCAGGTGACTCGCTTAAAGTGGCAGCACACAGATTAACTTTAACATAATCAATTTCTGACACAACTGGTAGAGCTGCGAGCAGGTCACCCTGGTTCAAATCAAAGTCTGGGCTCCTTTCTGGGTGGAGTTTTCATGTTTTCTCCGTGCATGCATGAGTTTCTTCCAGTTACTCCGGTTTCCTCCCACAGACCAAAAACATGCACGTTAGGCTGATTGGTAGCTCTAAATTGTCCCTAGAGTGAATGGTTGTTTGTCTCTGTGTCCCCGTGATGGACTGGAGACCTGTCCAGGGTGTACTCCGCCTTTCGCACAGTGATTGCTGGACATGGGCACCAGTGACCCCCCGCGACCCAAAATGGAAGAAGCGGGTAAAAGATAATGGATGAATGGATTTCTGACATGTGAAAACTGAATCAAAATCTCCCACGCCCACTGATGCAATGCATCTAAAAATAGATTATAACCCCCACCCGTAATGGATACGCTGCCACCACACTCCACCCAGCTACAACTGCTACTACAATGATAAACCACAACAGTCTCACTACAGAGGTTTTGTGCATGTTTAAAGCCCTTGTGAATCTATCAAACTCCATATTGTAATCTTAATCTGCAGCTGAAGACCTCACCAGAGCGTGTAGAGTTCAGAGTGAACGGGGGGGGCCTTGAATATTTTAAAACACTCCAATTTTAGGCTTCTGTGTCACCTAAATGTGTTGGATGAAAGAAAACGTGCTTCAACTAATTTAAGCCATTTCATACATGTTACATTGTTTCAAAGTAGACATTTGCCTTTCACTCAGCTTATTTATTTCAGTAATCTATTGTAGATCTTAAGCAGCAAATTTGAACACAAACACACATGATGCGTTTAATTGTATGTGTGCGTTCACACGAAGACATTTGCTGTTGTGTGGCTCTGCACAGAGGACTGCTGAACCACAGGGATGCACATCGTTAAATGACGTGCATGAACCACACACACACTGAAGTGTACATGTCATTTATGTTGTTTATTTTTCATTCTGTTATCTTTGATTAGTTTTTACAGTATATCTGAAAATTGCGAGATTGAGCCCAACATTTAACCACAAATGTTTGAATACTGGCACAATGTGCTGACTACATATTATCATGCACAGCCTGTTTGAGAGCTGTGTCTAAGGAAGTGTATGACCCAGATAGCAAATTCTTCCATCATACTTAATGAGCTGCAGACATTATGTATCTGTGGACGATTTGTTTTAATGCATTAGCAAATGTATTT